AGGAAAAAGGCAAAGCTAGTGATGATACAAATGGATTTATTGACAACTGAGGAATATGAGAAGAGAATGAGATAAATAGTAGTTTTTAGACAGTGGCTACGGCAAGAGTCTTGGAGGCCCAGAAATTGATTTACTCGTCTCAACACTATTCTTAACTCCAGAATGTTCAGCTGACCTAAGACTTGATATATCTGAAGACCCAATCATTAACATTAAGTAGCTGATGAAAAACATTCACAGAAATAAACCCTCCAAATGCCTTAAAAGGGAAAATAAAGAAGAAAAACAATGTTAAGAAGTGTAGGAGTGCCTTCTTGCCAACATTTCTGAGGGAACATGGGAGCTGAAACCTCAGACTAAATGTTGCCCCAATCTCACATGACTAATTTTAGTTATCTTGGTTCATGGCTATGATTCATTCCTGAAGCTGTGAATTGCTGGGGAGGAAGGAGGAAAAATTAACTTAAATGTCAAAGAAGTAGGAACATAAATATACTTTTCTTTTTTGGGGGAACTAGAATTCCAGGATATGGGGATCGTTTTTCGGCAGCTGCTGAATGCTTCCAACTTCTAGAAAAATAATGATCTCTAGTCAAAACATCATCAAGGAATAACAGACAGAACCAATTATGCCCCCATAGTGGATTTTTCTTTTCTCCTTGTGTACCTCTTTAAATCCCATGAAATTAGACATCATTAATAATCATATGAAGTTGAGCATGATGGAAGCTTAATATGTAGACTACAGTGATAAATGCAACAAAAACAATAGGTAAGGGAGAAATGAATAGAGATAAGTAGAACTATGAGAACTAATATTGGGGAATGGAAGGGGTGTTTGAATGGTGGTCACATGTACTCTTGTCTGATAAGCAATGGGACAACAGATGTTTTGGTGACACCCCATTCTCAGTAAAGAAAACATGATTTTCAGTTTACAAGGTGCTTTTTAGTAAATTGACTTCCCCTAGGTTCAGGAAGGAAATAGTCACCAACTCTTACTCAGGTCATTGCCTCAACTAGCTGACACTCTACCATCAGCCTAGGTCCTATCTCTGTGTTTGCTTCTCTCTACTCTTAAAACTTCTGAGCTATAAGAGAAATAATTGACAGGTGTAAAACATATGGTTCAGGACATTAGAGGAAGATAATATTGTATAGAAGGCAAATGAGAAAGAAAGAGTTCCAATGACTTTTGGGTAGATTTTCCACACCCCTGAAGCATGAAGACAGTAGGCCCCAGGCATGAGTGTGAATGCTGATTTCGGCACCTGAAGGCTGTCTATCCTCAGCCTCCCCCAGGGAACTTTCCTCATCTTCCTCACAGCTCTGCTCCTTTCTGTTCTCCTTATATCTGGGTATTGCTGTGAGCAGCCGTATCACTGCACCTCATGACTCAATACTCAACTGTGACGATGCATCCTGATCATAATCAAACAGGATCCTCAGGAGGCGAAAAGGCATTCTGCTGGGTGCAGAGTCCCATAGCTTAGTTTGCATATGAGGAAACTGTATTCAAGGTCTAAGTGACTTTATTGCCCATCAGTTCTGTCTTTTGCATCTTCTGGAAGATGTCAATGAGTACCATGGTCATGATCACCTGTTATTGTTTCTAGTGGAGAGATGTTTTAAGGTTTCTGTAGATGGTAACTGTCAGAAGGGTCCTTGGCCATCCTCATTTTAGACTACTTTGGCTCACTGTCACTGTTAAAAGTCCAGTGTTTTTTTTTTTTTTTTCCTAGATTGGGTATATTTAATTATCTCTGCTTCTGCTAGGTATGCCAAAGTGCAATGAAGATTTGTTATTTTTTATTTCCACCATTAACTTTCACCTTGTGTGGTCATGCTGTGTGTTGAATTATGTTTCCTAAATAGATAAGTTGAAGTCCTCATTCCTAGTATCTCTGAATGTGACCTTACAATAGCTCCTCCTATCCTTAGGGGATATGTTCCAAGACCATTAGTGAATGACTAAAACCTCAGATGGAATTGAACCCTATAAATTCCATGTTTTTTCTTCTGTCCATATGTTTGTGATAAAGTTTAATTTATAAACTAGGCACAGTAAGATATTAGCTATAATAACAATAAATGCGTAATGATAAATTAGAATTATAACAGTATACTAAAATAAAATAATTAGTATTACTTCTGTTTTTCTATGGGGCCATTATTTTTTTTTTATCTTTTATTTAATGAATATAAATTTCCAAAGTACGACTCATGGGTTACAATGGCTTTCCCCCCCATACCGTCCCTCCCCACCCACAACCCTCCCCTTTCCCACTCCCTCTCCCCTTCCATTCACATCAAGATTCATTTTCGATTATCTTAATATACAGAAGATCAGCTTAGTATACCTTAAGTAAGGATTTCAACAGTTTGTTCCCACACAGAAACATAAAGTGAAAAATAATAGATGATTTTTTTTTAAATGATGATGAAATCAGATCAGACCTATTGTCATGTTTAATCCCAGTGAGAGTCAAGTTGGGAATTGATAATTTCTTTTTTTTTTTTTTTTACAGAAGATCAGTTTAGTGTACATTAAGTAAAGATTTCAATCGTTTGCACCTCTATGGGGCCATTATTAAGTAAACTGATGTGTTACTTGAATACAAACTTTGAGTCTGTAACAGTCAATCTGATGACCAAGGTAGCTAAATGACTAACAGTGGGTAGTGTGTACAGAATGGATACATTGGACAAAGGGATGATTCATGTCCTGGGCAGGACAGAACAACAAGATGGTGTGATATTTTATCACACTAGTCAGAATGGAGCACAATTTAAAACTTATGAATTATTTCTGAAAATTTCTATTTAATAGTTTTGGACCACAGTCAATTATGGGTAACTGAAACCAAGAAATGTGAAACCATGGATAAGAGAGGAGGACTACGGATTTGGAAGTGGGGTCTCCAGATCAAGTTAAGATGAAGTCATTAGGGAGGGACTCAAAAGACAGCCAGATGAAGACACAGAATGAGAGCACTGCATGATGACAAAGGCTACTGTAGCTAGAGTCAAGGGCTGCAAAGCATTGCTGGCCACAAGCCACAACCAGAACCTACAGGCATCCTCTCCAGGCTGCAGAGAGACCATGGCCTGGCTGGCACTTTGGTCTCTGACTTTCAGCTTACAGGACTGTGGCACAACACATTTCTCTTGTTCCAAGCCATCATGTTTGCAGTTCTTTGTAAGACAGCCTGGGAAAGCTAATACGTGCAGTAAGAAGGCACAGAGAAAGTGTGCTGGAAGCTGAAGCACACAAGGAAGAGCTTCTTTTCATGAGTTGCTTTACTAATGTATCAGTACTAATGCCTGATAAAAATGATCCACAGGGGCCGGTGCCATGGCTCACTTGGTTAATCCTCTGCCTGCGGCGCCGGCATCCCATATGGGTGCCTGGTTCTAGTCCCGGCTGCCCTCTTCCAGTCCAGCTCTCTGCTGTGGCCCTGGAGGGCAGTGGAGGATGGCCCAAGTGCTTGGGCCCCTGCACCCACATGGGAGACCAGCAGGAAGCACCTGGCTCCTGGCTTCAATCGGCGCAGCACCGGCCGTAGCAGTCATTTGGGGGGGGGGGTGTGAACCAATGGAAGGAAAACCTTTCTCTCTGTCTCTCTCACTGTCTATAACTCTACCTGTAAAAAAAAAAGTATAAAAAAATGATTCACAGCGGTTCCACAAGATTCCTTGAGAAAGAATTAACAAGGAACTCCCCCCGTCCATTCTTCAAAATATAACACAATTTGTTATTTAAATAAATCTCCACCATATACTAGACAGCTAATTTTAAGTGTTCTTGATTAACCATCTGGTTTGTTTCCCTTAACCCAATTGCCTTGCCTTAATCTTTTCTGTTTTGTTTGTCTTTTAATATTTTACTTTGTAACAATACTTATGCATGAAGAGTAATATATATTTCATCAAAATATGGAATCCAGGATACTTTAAAAATACTAATTATCTGTAATATATATTTTCAGGTTCAAATGGAATTCTGTCTTTGGATTCATATTCCAAAGTTCTGACTTACTCCATAAATAGTATCAAAAATTAAATCAGGGGAAGGCATTTGGTGAAGCAATTTAGATGCCTGCATCCCACATCTGAATGCCTGGGTTCAAGTCCTGACTACTCCTCATTCCAACTTCTTGGTAGCACAAAACCTGGGAGTCATCAGGTGACGGCTCAAGTAGTTGGGTTGTTGCTTCTAATATGGAAGAACTGGCAAAAGCCACAGACCTGTCTGTTATGAGCATTTGAGGAGTAAACTAATTAATGGGAGAGCTCTTCCTGTCTGTCTTTCTTTCTCTCTATATCTCTCTGCCATTCATATAAAACAAGTAAACAAAAAACCAGAGACCTTAGTTAAAATAATCACTTTCAGTAGTCTTTGTAATGCTGTTATCCATTTACAAATAGCCCAAATATAGGTAGGAACTACTTACAATCACAATTTCAAAATATAAATCCCACTTTATAGTGCTTAAAATTTAGTGTGTACTAAGTATTCATATTTAAAAATGCATATCAAGAACCTTTATGTATTATCCAATTTTTAACCATGGCCACGTTATATAAGCTCTAAGACTATCTCATCTTTTACTCAATTGTTTGAAAAATTGAAGAGTTTTCCAGGAAGAGTTCCTCTGTATATTAGTAGCTCCACAAATGTCCAAGAATTGGTATCCATGGATCTTTTCATTAACCATAAATCTTAACCCTTTTCAGAAGCCATCTTAGATGCTTCAAGCCTTTCTTCTTGGAGTTTGGTATTTAGCTAATGATCTATAGGGACCTGAGTGTCCCTACTTTTGAAGGTACGGGGATATACAGGTCAGATCCAGTGTCAAAATTAACAGACGGTTCAGTGCAGCACGCTGTTCCACCCATAAGATGGGCCCTGCCTCACCTTCTTCAGGAGTGATACAATTTGAGCCTAGGTGACAATACAAGGAACCAGACTATCAGAATATCATGTTGGGATTACTTACTTGAGTGTGGTGAGTTCTGTAAGGGATGGCTGAGTGGCCTTGAGATAGCTTTCTCTCCGTGCAGCAACTTTGGGAGAAGGCTTGGGGCTTGTGTCAGAGTCCCCACTATCTTCATCCCCCATGGCCTTGATATAGCTGCCACTGCGCATTCTTCTGCAAGGGATTTCATCGTCTTTACCTCGAGGGGTGTACCCTGCCCATTCATCTTGAGGAACCTAAAGAGACAGAAAACATCGAGATTCGCTTTTTATAAAATCCTACCTTTTCTTTCCTTTTTTTTTTTTTAGCTGACCTTGGATATGGGCAATATAGATAACTATCTAAAGCTTAAGCTATTAACCTTTCAATAACAGTGTTTTACTGGGTTAGTTTCACAAGTTTTTTTTTTCTTCTTTCTTCTTCCTTTTTTTTTTTGGGGGGGGAACATGCACATCCAAGTCTAAATCTTTTAAACAACCTGGGTATTAGGAAAAATTAAAACCACTGGTTTTGATTCATGTATATGTCTTAGTTTTCAAATGCTGATAATAGTTGAGTCAGACATAAGAATGCCACTAGAAGGGAGAGCAATTTTATTTGATTTACTAAATAATTTCTTTTCAAAGGTCATTTAGGATTCAAGACTGTTTCCTCATTTATCTCCACCTTTCCTTAATCTTCCATCTTTATCATCTCATTTTCAGTTTATCCTCCTCCTAAACCAGTGGTCTACACCATCTGTATTCACTCCTTAACCCCCTACTCTTTCTGAACTACTCTCAATTTTGATTTAGCTTTGACTAGACATGCTTAAATCACATTTGTAAGTTTCCAATGATCTCATGAGAGCTCAGGGACTTTTCTTGATGTTTGTTGGCCTGAGCATGCCCAGGCTCATAAACACACACAGATACATGCACACCACCTTTTGAGAGTTCCTCCTCCGTTGGTTTTCGGGTTGTTCTACTTACCTGTTACAGCTACTCCTTATCTGAATTGCTCTTTTCTCTTGCTTTTCTGGTTTCTAGACCCTAGTTGTGGGAACCACATAAGAGAATGCTATCAGGGCCCTGCCCTTTGGTCTTTCCACAACCATTTCTTTGGAGTTTATTAGAATATTACACCATATTTTTAAGGCTTCTTTATGACTTTTTCTTCAATTCCTCTCAGATTTTCCACCTCAACCTGAATTCAACCTAGGATCTCATTCTTCTTCCATTTGGTGAAAGAAATGCATAATAACTACTCTATCCATCAAGAAGAAACATTATAGGGCTCAGAACATTGCACTGGGCTTAATTAAGACAGGGGACGAAGGTGGGAAGGCTAAAGAGAGGAGAAAACAAAATAGAAGCAAGTTTGGGAGCAGTTCCAAATCAACATGCTAGGAAGTTTAAGATGTGGTATCATGAATGAAATCTGTACTAAAGAGACACTAGAAATGAGAGTTAGTAGCAATGTGATATGGAAAGAGTCCTTAGGAAGGGCTTCTTAGCACTGGCCAGTTTGTAATGAGAAGATAAAAAGATATTTAATATTTTAATGCTATTTACTGATTATCCTTTAATGCAATACAGTATTTCATGATTCACATTTAACTCTGCTAAGTGATTTACTTACAGGATATTGTTTCATCAGTACAACACTGCACTTTTTTTATATTTTGCTCAGAGGAGCTCAGAGAGCTTAGGTAACTTGCCAAAGGATACATAACTAGTAAATGTCAGCGCTGAGATTCAAAGTATTCTGGTTTAACTCTAGAGGTTAGAATGAAATGAATTTAAAATTTATGATTAATAATATATGAATTTGAAATCTTGAGTGTTAGACATGCACTTATAAGACATGGATTTCTAAATATCGAAGTTCTGGGAGGTGAGAATAGATGGTCTATTAAAAAGCACTGTTCTTTCCTCCTCAAGTTATGAATTTATCTGCATAGTTTGAAAGTCTAGAAGCATCAGACTGAAGAGCTGCTACTGTTCATGGACTTGAAAACAGCAATTTGTAGGTTCTAATTCTGAAAAGTGTTTGAGTTTAAGCTTCACTCTGCAGCATGTTTTTCACTTAACAAGTCCTTATATCGTGCTTCATGTGCTTCCTGTGTGTGGGCTCTGCTTTCTGTGCTTTATGGGAGTTAACTGATTTGATACATACAGATGAGGTTTTTTTTTATTATTATTATCCCATTTTACTAATGAGGAAACTAAAATTATATAACTCACTCAAAGTTGCAGCTTTAAGGCACAGTTTCTGCAGGGCAGCTCCTGGGACCTTGCTGTTGACTGCTGCTTTGGTTTGTGTGTCCCACAAAGGTCTATTAAAGGTTTCATTCCCTAGATGTTGATACTGGGAGGTAGTGAAACCTCTAATAGATGAGTCCTAATGGGAGGTCCCAAAGTCTTCTCAGAAGGGAGTTCTCATGCAACAACTTGAGTTGTCCAGAGAGGGTTATTATAAAAGCCTGAGTTTGACTCCACTCAACTCTCTCTCTTTGTTCCTGGCATGAAATGTGGTTATGTTTCCATGTGTACTTCCACCGCTGCTATCCACCATGGCTCATTACAACCACTGTTTGCTGCTGCCTCTCTTTCTAGGCTTTGCTTTGTAGCACCTGCAGTGCTGAACAATTATGGCCCATGATGCCTTTGTGATCCTTCCCATTTGATGCACTTGCCATTTATTAATTGTCCTAGTAGCACTCTGGAGTTTTTATGTTTTTAGCTAAGAAGCATAAAAATCACCACAGCAACAAGGATTTCTTAGGAAATTATAAATGCTGAGAATAGTTTTGTATTCTTTCAACTGACTCACTGCATAGATAAGACCATGTTCAGAACTTTAGCAAATACATTTTACAAATTAACTTGGTAGAGCTGAGGGTTGTAGATGATGCATACTTACTTGCCATTTCTCAGTTCTGACGCAAAGTTGATAACCATTGCTTTCTGGAATATTGAGACTAGTAACACATTGGTTCATATTACTCATGAAACAAAACATGGTGGATTTCTGCTTAGATGTTATTTTCAAAGTTAGTTTATGATAGAAGCTTGGCTTGTACAAGAAGCAGTCTGTAACTGTTGCTAAGGGAACCAGCTAAGAACTATTTAATCTGTATACCATTCAATTAAACATACTTTCAAATGATAATAGCTTAGAAGTATAGAAGTGGCTTCTATGGGAATGGAGTGGAATTTGAATATCAGTGTACCATTCATACACCTAAAGGTAACACACAAGAAGATTACATATAATGGAATACAAAAATTGGCTGTGTGGAAAATGTAAAGACTCAGAAAGTCAAGACAATGGAGAAGAAAAACACTACCACTGAACTGTAGAGACTAAGAAAATTGTTACAATCAAACTAGTAATATGATTACAAATATAGTCTACTTGTAATTATATTTTATACTAGGATATCAACTGAATATAAGTCAGTTAACATTGTAAGATGCCGCTGCTTTTAGGTCTCCAAGATATCTATGGCTGGCCAGCCTTAAAAAGTACCCATGAAGAGGCAAATTTCTAATGTTTATGCTCACATATAAATAGTACTCTCATCAATTGTATTACATACAGTAATACATCCCTATTCACTATACATCTCTTATCATTCCTATTTTACAGATGGAAAAACTGAAGCAAAGAGGTGAAGTGACATATCCAGTGTCATACTCAGTGAGTGAAAGCAAAGCTGATGTTGGAATTCATTCATTCAGTATCACACTTACCTGGAAACACATTATGTTTCTTGCACTGTCCTGGATCATAGAAACAATGAGAGGTTTACGCCTCTTTTACCTTTTCCATTCTGTGACCCCATCTCTGTGACTGCAAGCAAGACAGAGTAGAGCCTTCATGCAGCCCAGAGCCTCCATTGGCCCCCTAGCTGCTGGCCTCCACGGTTCTTATATATATGGAATACATAGGTTCAGCGACAAGACTTCAAAAACAAAAACTGGTTTCCATGGAGTTTATCCCCACTATTTCTGCTTTTTAGGCCCAAAGGGGGCATTTGTAATGAAATCCATGGCTTACCCATGTTGGCCTAAGGGTTGCAGGCTCCATTCTCAGTTCTCCAGACAGGGGTGAGGCCCCAGGACAGAGTGCAATGGAGTACCTCTCGAAGAGCGATGCTAGCTTGTAAATGATGGGCATAGAGTGTACATTAGGAACTAAAGTTTTTGTTTAGTATATTTCAATTATTTCTGCCTATACTTTACAAAAAAAAAAAAAAAAACTGAACGGCATCAGCATCTTTTGCAAAAGCCAAGGTCAACCATTATCAGGGAAGATCTGTGTGCTTAGTAACAGGACCGAGTGCTGGAGGTGGTCCAAAGTTTCCATGGAACAGGCTTTTATGAAGTACTTCCTGTGTGCTTGTAGGTATTACTTCATTTAAAGCATGTCTAATTTTGTGGGGGTGGGAAACCGAAGCACAGAGAAATTAATTAGCTTGTCCATGAGTTCACCCATCAACCAGCCCAGCATAAATTCAAATCTGGGCCATGTAATGGCAGAGCCCACCCCACTAAGACCTCAGCCACACCACTTCCCCTGGTTTCAGAGAGTTTTCACAGTAGTTGGAGAAAGAAAACAAAGAAGATTTAGTGTAAATAAAACATCATTGTAGTGATTATGTAGGTACTCAGTATGATTACATGGATCATAGGTTGAAAAACTTTCTCTGCCCTCCATACAGTCTCAAACACTACCACACAACTCTGTCCTTATGTCAAATCAGTTACAGAGAACTCTGAATGAGTGGGCATGACTGTGTACCAATAAAACTTTAATTAGAAAACCACTCAGTGGACCAGATTTCATTTGCAAGCTATACTTTTATGACCCTTTCTATAGGTGGTACACATTACAGATTTCATAAAGGAGAAGGTTAATTCAGGTTGGAAGAACTGGAGTGGAGGGAGCTTTTGGAGAACTGAGTTCAGTTCTGAAGGAATATGGGATGAGTTTGCAAGATTCCATGTGAACTGGCCCTGTCCTATAGCATCTCTTCAAATCGTTTCCTTCTTGTTCAGTGTGGCCAGGTTGGCTTTCTTCTTTCTTTCTTTCTTTTTTTTGGTGACAAATGGAAAAAGACAGAGAGCTTTTATTTTGCTGGTTCATTCCCCAAATGCTTGCAATAGCTGGGTCTGGGTTGATCCAGGTCACCTCTGTCGGTGACAGTAATCCAATCACTTGTGCCATTACCTACTGCCTATCAGGATTT